CTTCCTTCCTTCCTTCCTTCCTTCCTTCCTTCCTTCCTTCCTTCCTTCTTCCATCCATCCATCCATCCATTTTTTTTAAGCTAAGTTTAATATTAACTCTCTGAATTTTGTGTTCAGTCTCATTGGCACATGCATCATGTTGAATTACTTTTAACATGATTTGACTTAACTGCTTGCACTCCTCACATCCTGCTCTGTTGAACTAACACTGTGAACAATCTTATTGAAGACCAAAGACCTGTGACAGTGGGTGGTTGTTAATGCCAGGAGCCCCATAGTCACCTTTTTATGCTATGGTTCTTGGTTTTGTTTCATAATTTTTGAGGTTCAGTTATCTTTTGAAATTTGCCATTTTTATTTTGCCAAACTATTCCATAGTATATATTCATTTCTATCTGCTCTATGATTTGGATGCAAATATATTGTTACTAGAAATAATGTAGTATAATTGTAGTTGTTTTATGATATATCTTTTTAGGATTTGGACTTAGTTCAGAAAACACTTATGGGGAAATTAACATTTCAGTTGAAGTTACAAATGTAATTTCTATCCTGTCATATTTTGGTGACCTTTTGTGACAGCTTGTCTCAATTGGAGGAGAGCATTTTTTCTTGCTGATTAAAGATGTCATTTGAAACCATTTTATTACTGAGGATAGTAAAATTAATCTTGACACTCAGAACCACTAGAAAAATAATTGCTGATTCACTGCATAAAAAATGTGTGTGAAGCAATCATGTAGTCAAGATGAAAATAAAAATCTGTGCTGGTTAAAAGGAGATTATTACGTTTTCTTTCCAAGGGTGCATATTCATTTGAATGAGAGGAGATACCATATCAACATTTCCAAGAAAATGAGTCATAGTTTAGATACTTAATTACCCCCAGTGGAGAAGAAGGCTTACAGTAGTCTTTAGTGATATTCTAGAAAAATACATGTTTACTAATATAAGATGTATTGCCACATCTATACACTACTGTAAAGTAGAGGAACCCTGTTTGGATGAGAGGCACTTAGAATAATGTGCTGTTGAAAGATTTTTTGGGTCTGTGCCTACATTGCACTCTGATGCATGGGAGAGACACAAGTTGCTATGTGAAGCTCCGGTAGTGCTTTTAAGTAGCCAGCTTTTCTTTGGATAGCTCTCCTCTCATTTGAGAAGGTATCCAGATCTGGCTGTACCGACACACAGTGTCTTTTTTTTTTTTTTTAAGTATGACATATATACATATATCTAATTCATCTAAAAGTTTAAAGTGAAATGAAGTTAATGGGTATTTCCTTCTTTAGGAAATTATCTTAATTATTTCCAAAGAAGGTCGCTAGTGGCTTTGATTTATATTAGAACACTTGGTGTTTTTTTTTTTTTTTTTTTTTTTTTGCTTGTTTGTTTGTTTTATTCTGCCATGGCTCATTAGTAATATTTTCTATTTTGTTTGGATTTTTGTTTTGTTTTGTTGAGGCAGGGTTTCTCTGTGTAGCCCTAGCTATCCTGGAGTTCACTTTGTAGAGCTGGCTGGCCTCAAACTCATATAGATCCACCTGCCTCTGCCTCCCAAGAGTGGTGACTAAAGGCATGCACTACCACACCTAGCTAGTGGCCTCTTTGGAGCCCAGAAATAGAGGAGGAGTTTCCAGCTATAATAGTCTGTAAACACTGGCTACTTTTTAGATTCACTGGGCATACTGTGTGAAAGTGAAAGCATTTTTAAGATCAATAAGTTATATATACATATATCAAGATATTGCTACTCAGTTCTTACTGTTCTCTCCAGAGATGTATATAGCATGGACTGTATTTAACAATTGTACATCTTTTTACATAGAGCTTTCAGCAGAAGCCAAAGCCGCATTGCTTGAATTTGAAGAAAGAGAGCGGCAGCATAAGCAGGGACGCTATGGTTCCCGGCGGGGAGGACGGCGAGGAGGCTCTCTGATGTGCCGTGGAATGGGAGACCAGAGACGAGAGAACAGTGAGAGGGGAAGGATGAAGGAGCACAGGCCTGCTTTGCTTCCTACACAGCCTCCTGTTGTGGTAATTATGGTGTTTTATTGCAGTTTTAGAGCGATGAAAATTTGATTCTGGGGGGTCACACAATTCACACCTTTTCTGAAAAGACACTGAATCAACACTTCAGAAATGGCTGAAGCTTCTGGGTTTGGGTCTATGTTAAGATTTTATTTGTAGTCTGAGGATAATGCCTTTTCATTATTGGGTAGTCTCAGCACTTTCGTTGATCAGCTAGTGGCCTATGTGGCTACAACCAAGCCCTGCTTTTCTCCCTTATATCAGTGAGGCCCTCTCAAGTGTGCTGCTTTTGAAGTGCTGATGTTAACACAGATAGGATTTAGGTTATAGTTGATTGATAAAGTGTTTTTCTATAGATTTTCCCCCTCAGTAGCAGTTTTTGTAATTATTGTATCTTAGAAAAAAATTTCATGACTTGAGACTGAATTATGCAGTTAAACTTGAGTGGATTTCTTCTGGGATGTCTCAGAAGCAAAGATAGGAGCCATGTGTTTATTGTCCTTTTGTAAGCTAGAGGTAAACCTCATAGCTTTCAGTCAGTGTTAAGAAGATAATGCAAGGAACATAATGCAAAATGTGTCCTTAGTGTATACCACATATCCCCTAAGGCTTGCAGCCTACACTTGGCGTCAGTTAACAGTGTTTCAGATACAATCCATTGGTGATATGAAGTAGAAAGAGTAATTATTGGTCTTGTGTTAGAATCCAGTTTACTGTACTCCAAGAGAAGAGGAATAGGTGGCTGATAGCACTCGAAAATTTGTGACATCAGTGCATGGCTCTTTTGTACACAATTGGTTGGTTCTCCATCAAGGTAAAAAAGTTAAGCCTCAGACTGGTTTTGCATCATCATGAGTGCCACAGAACTCCTTTTCTTATTTACAGGTGAGGAAGGGGAATGGAGAGAGGGTGGGGGATGCTGGTAACAGCCAGGCAAAAAGCAAAGGTAACCTGCATCCTAACAGGGTAGCTATGTCCTTGGATCCTGATATGACCACCTGGTGGGTTCCAAAGCCACCATGTGGATGGTGGACTGAGTCTGACCAGCCATGCACTTTGACTACAGCCTTGTCTTTCTCATTGGGATTGTCTTCAGTGACCTTCCCCAAGGCACAGAGACGCTTGAGATCCTGCTTACTCCTCACCCAGAATGAATCTGTCTACTTGCCTATTCACCTCCACTTTCTAGGAGGAATGTTCTTGACTCTTGTTTCTTGATCTCGGTTCTGTTCTTGAGGTCAGCCCTTTACTCTTAGTGGACACTTGTTTGCATGCCTGTCTTATGGCCTACACCCCAGTTCCACACATATCTGAGGTGTCACATGACTTCCTTCTCTTGATTCTTTGGGCTGCTTTGCTCTAGAACTATTCCTTCTTTCCCTCCTACCTCTCACACTTATATTTGGATATTGTACAATACTAAGATCTGTTCGATATGGTTCACCTGTTAGCAATTCTCAATGACACATTTTTACTCTTAGGCAATTTGCTGTTCTCTTCTCTTCTTGTCAGAATGTTAGGAAGGCATTCCATCCCCAGACAAATATGCTAGGGTCTGAAATCGGGTGGGGACACTCCCCAATTTTAGTGCCAGCCTCTCTTAGTGAGGTCAAACAGCACTTGACAGTTTTCCAGTTCTGTATATCACACACTTTCATGCATAAAGGCAATGAACAGAAGGTTTATTGGATTCTGAATCTTTGGAAAAGTTCTTTCTTAGGAAAGATAGCCAGCCAATGTCATATACATATACATTGTGGCTATTCTTCTATTTGCCTTTTGCCGTGGCCTGTCACAGGCCTGTGTTCATCTCTTCCATCTCACACGAAGTCACTTTCCTAGAGAGGGCATCATTGCAGATTTCTTTCCATGCATGCTTTATCTTTCATTTGGGATGCAGTGATCCTCTATAATTGGGCATTATCCCAGGGAAAACGACTAATTAGACAGCTGAATTACGAGTATTTTGACTGCTAATCGGCAGTATAGCTGATTTGATTAGTGGTTAAAAGCAAAACTTGTGGAATCAGATTGTCTGGGTCCAACTCACTCTCTGGCACTGTCAGGAGTAGGCTTGCTGCTTCCTGTGCAAGTCTCCAAAGGGGACTTAGATGTGGGTCTGCAGGGGGTTGCAGGGTCACTTTGGGTTGTACTTTATTTTTATTTACTTTTTTTGTACTTTTTTTTTTTTTTTTTTTTTTTTTATGTGCTGTTCTCCCGTCTTCTTCTTGACCAAACAGGAAGTTCTTTTTCCTGGTTTTCTCCATTCATGATCTGTTTATTCTCTGTATGCAATGCATTTCTTTTCTCCAGTGGAGGCTTGGCCTAGATACCACTTTCTAAAAGCAACTTCTCCTTGGCACAGCTCTCTGTAGCCCTGACCCTTTCTTAGTGGCAGGTTTCTAATGATTGCTCCTGTCTGTCTCTTGTCTTCTTGTGGAGAGTTAGGACTAGCTATGTTTAGAGGCTATGGGTGGCTTTGCTCTTTATGGGCAGTTTGTTTCTTGGGCTGAATTTTATTTTTCAGAATTCATGCTGTGTGCTTTGGGCTGTTATTTCTTCTCTCTTTGCTATGGACTGGTTGAGCCACATACCATCTTGTGAGTCCGTGGCATAGTTTATTTATCCTGTGTTCAAAGTTTGTGTACAAGATTTTACTGTATACTTATTTCTAAGAAGTTAATTGGTATAAGCCTGTAGCATATCGGCATTACTTTTGTTTTCATCTAAATGTTGATTTCTGTGTATTTTTCTCCTTTGGTGGTTTTCAGGCTCACTCTCCAAGATTAATCCCTCCTCCACAGCCACAGCCTCCTCCTCCACCACCACCACCTCAGCAGCAGCCAATCAGAAGTCTGTTCCAGCAGCAGCAGCTACAGCCTCTACTTCCTTTACAGCACCCGCATCACCCATCCCCACCGCAGGGAGTGCACATGCCCCCCCAGATCGAGACTCCAAGGATGATGCTGACCCCTCCCCCAGTGACTCCTCAGCAGCCCAAGAACATCCATATCAACCCACACTTCAAGGGGACAGTGGTGACCCCTGTTCAAGGTGCGTGTTCTTTCCTGCTATGTGTTCATTCACAAAGCTACCACATAGCAGCTAGATTCACAGATACAATGTAGTTTGACCTGTTCCTTTCTTCAAAATGTCTGTATCTTAGTTTGTGACTGAATGGAAAATACTGTGTCAGTCTCAGTGTGAGGCACAACTGGAGGTAGTTGTTGAAGTCTCTGAATGCTTATTTCATATATCTCATGGCAAGAATGTTGGAAGTGATGACTTTTCTTCTTAGCCTCTGCTTGGTATTCATTTTTAGTTTGTGTTACCTGACAGGTAAGGACCAACCTCTCTTTGATCTGTTAACTGTGTTGCTATGACAAAAGAGGTGCTGGAGCTGGGAGCTGCTATATAAGTAGCTTCTCTGAAACACTTGCTCCTATGTCTGGGCTTTGTTGGAGAGCAGAGCATAAAAGAGTTCTGTTCATGTTCTTGTTCCTTCATGGGCGGAGGTAGTTTACCTTGATTGGTAAGCAGGCCTATGAGTCATGCTAGATGTAAATGAAGAGGGAAAGTAGAGCAGAGTTGGGGAAGGGAATGCACAGTTATCTGGGGGTTCATTAGGTTAGTTCTAGAGGTATTCAGAAAGATAAAGAGTGACTTGTCAGGGAAGATGGTCACAAGTCTCAGAGAGGTGTACAAGGAGGAAGGGCTGTTAATAGTGAGCCCAAGCCTTGGATTTAAAGTAATTAAGAGAGACATATCGTTTATAGGGTGACAAAAGGAGAGAAGTGATGCAGGGTTCTTCTTGTAAGGACTTAATTTTTATTAGAAGAAATGGCCTGGTTTAGGATATTAACATGGAGCAAAAAGGAAGTTTTGGTTCTCTCATAGCTGAAACTGGTCATTTGATAGTAGAGTGCATTGTGTGCTTCTATTTATGCATCATTTTAATGCACATTTTTTTTGCTATTGACGTCTTACTATTTGATCCTTATACTATGGAAGTGATGTTAGACCAAACAACTTGTAGTGATTCTCTTACCAAAGTTCAAAATGGGCTACTGTGAATGCAACTGGAAGCATCAACAACACATTTGGTCCAGGAGCCACTAGCGATGTCCAGTGTAGGGGTGGATCAAGAAGGACCAAGGCATCAGTCATCAGAAGTTACAGTGACGAGTGAGCAGTGTTGAAGTGGAGCACTCTTAGAGTGCAGTGTATCTGCTTAGCAGTCATTTAGCATTGGCAGAAATTAAAAAGGTTGAAAGGCTTGATAGGTGGGTGCCTCTTGAGCTGTTTGAAAATAGAAAAAAAAGTGTCATTATGTTGCAAATTTAGTCAATAACAACAAACTGTTTCTTCATTATTCGAATGTGAAAGGGGCATAGTACATGATAGCTCATGAAGACCAACTCTGTGGGTGGACCAGGAAGTGCACCTGGGGAGAAGGGTGTGTTCAGCCAGCAGATGACTGTAAGAGCCAAGGGTCAGAGGATTATACAGCAGAGGCAATGGGAGGCTGTGTATAATGCAGGTGGATTGGATGAATAGGGGAGGGAGGCTAAGTATCTCAGAGGGTGGAAGTGTCTAGTCAACAACTGAGCAACTTCAAATGTTCTGGGCTATAACAGTTCAAGTTGGGCATTGCTGGTATATAGAAGGGCTAGAGCAGTGGTTCTTAACCTGTGGGTAGCAGTCCTTTTTGGGGTGTCAAATGACCCTTTCACAGGGGTCAGCTGAGACCATCAGAAGATATAGATATTCACATTACAGTTCATCGCAGTAGCAAAATTCCAGTTGTGAAGTAGCCACGAAAATAATTTTCTGGTTGGCGGTCACCAAAACATGAGGAACTGTGTTAAAGGGTTGCAGAAGCACTGGTTGAGAACCACTGGTCTAGATCACTAGCAGAGGTGTGGGTCTATAGAGACCAGGAGTGCTGGGCCTGTGAGTGGTAGGAAGAGACTCTGGCAGAGCTGCTGGGGGCAGGATGGGAAGCTGAGGAAGCAGATGGCTCCTGGGTAGGCTATTGATTGCCCTGGGCTTTAGGAAGACTTCAGTTCTGCTGATGGCTTGTGAGGTGAAAGTGGTATGAAGGAGCCTGACTAATTTGGACCTAGCATGGGAAGATCTTGATGTGAACTGACATGTTTCTTTCCATAGTGTTCTCTAAAACAAAGTTATTGTTGTTATTGTTAGGTGGCGTAGGGGGAGCAGGCTTGAGAAAAAATAAAGCAGAGAGAGTCACATCTCACACTTAGAGGGAAGAGCTAGCTGCACATGGTTGAAAAATCACTGATTTAGGTAGGGCCCTGTGAGCCAGGAGCAGGAATGGGGAACTTACAGACATGGGACCAGAGGCAGCATCATGAGTGCAGAAGGTGGCCCTGCATGTTTGGGGGTAGGAGGCAGAATCTTGGATAAGTTCTTGTGACCTCAGTTTTCTTAGTGAGCAAGCTGGAGATAAAGTATGTTGGAAAGTGTGCTCAGAGAAGTCTTGAAGCCATAACAGACCAGGAGTGAACTGCCAATTTGGAGGAAATTACCGGAGATGGACATGTTTGTCACTGGCAATGCTTGCCTCCACTTACGGGTTTATTGTAGACAGCTGTGTTTACAGAGCAGTAGATAAATAAGCAGGACCTGAAATCAGTGGGTCCTGTGAAGAGAAGACACTGGAGGAGGGGATAATTATTGGAATTGGTCCTGAAGGGAGAGAGTTGATGGAGTGCCGAGAGCTGCATGGAAAAGAAGGCAGACATATTCTTGCAGAAGTGGCAGTGGGACTGGGGCAGAGGGTTCTTAAGATGGTGCCAATGACTCAGAAACTGATTGTGCAAGGTAGAGTGGGAGCTTTAGGTGGCATGAGGTTTGGGTATGGGTTTGGGACAGCAGTGGAATTGGGAAGGAACCCACCTATCAGGAAGAATGGGAAGAATCCTTGTCACTTGGGGCTCCTGAGAAAGGGAGAGAGTTAGGAATAGTTGATGATGAGCTCAAGAGGTAGAGAAATTTCACAAGTTGGGAGAGAAATCACAAGGTCCCTTGCCTATGCTGGTCAAGTTGCTAGCTTATTCTGGGCATTCGCCATCTTTGCCTTCCCAGTGCTGGAATTGCAGCTGATTACACACCCATTTGACATTTCTGTAGGTGCTAGGGACCTAAACTCTTAATTCTCATCTTTGACTTCTGAGACATCCTTCCAACCCTCAACATAGCCTTCTCTTTGTTTCCCTAAATTGAACTTCTCAGTGGTTGCCCTATACCAATATTTAGAAATTAGGTATTTCCTTGTAAATTTTAGTGGAAAACTGGTGGCTGGTAAGATGCATAGGTTTTCTTCAGCTCAATAAAAATAATGGTATTGGAAGTACGAAATAATAAAGCTGTAAGTAGGTCCTGGAATGTTCTCTAGGCCAGGTGGTGTCATTTCCAGTCATCAGACTGGGAAAGTACTACATGCAGATTTCTTATCTGGGAGCTTAAGTGACTCAGTAAATGCTGAGTCTGTTTGAGCCTTCTTTTTTAAAATTTATTTTTATTTTAAATATTTTTATTTATTGAATTTTATTCTGTGTGCATTAGTGTGAAGGTGTCAGATCCCTTGGAATTAGCATTGCAGACAGTGAGCTGCCATGTGGGTGCTGGGAATTGAACCTGGGCTCTTTGGAAGAGCAGACAGTGCTCTTAAACACTGAGCCATCTCTCCAGCCCCTATTTGAGCCTACTTAATGTCACCATGAACCCAGAAGCTTTGATGCTACTTGCTCCTTGCCTTTTATGTACATGATGTCAGAGAAACAAAAACCTTCTTTTTACTGGTTACATGTGAAGTCCTAGCAGTGTTTATTTATTTAGTATTTTATAAATAAGCTTAAACGGAAGCCCCAATTTTTGGGAGAGGCTGAGTCCCAAGATGTATACTATACATGCAAAATACAGATCAATTTAGCACTTCTCAGACTCTTAACAGATAAGTACTCTTAAAAGTCTTTTTTAAAGTGTACACCTTTAATCCCAGCACTGGAGAGGCAGAGAGAGCCAGGAGAATTTCTATGAGTTTGAGGCTGTCGTGGTCTACATAGTTAGTTCCTGGACAGCCAAAGCTACATAGTGAGGCCCTGACTCAAACACAAAAAGATTCCATCTGTCCATCCAGAGTCTCAGTGTGTATCTTTTGTTGACCTGGAACTATGTAGTTCAGGGTAACCTCAAAATCAGATCTGTCTGCCTCTGCTTCTTGGGTGCTAGAATTAAAGGCATGTATCCCTATCCCTAGATAGACTTATTTTTACTTATGTGAATGTTTATCTGTATGAGGGTAGGTGTGTGTCTATACAGGTGCTCATGGAGGCCAAAAAGTATTGGAGTTGCAATTGCAGGTGGTTTTGTGAGCTGTCCAACATGGAGCTATGAACTTGAGTCTCTGCAAGAGACAGTATGCACACTTAACCACTGAATTATCTAATCATTCCCCTGAAAATCTTTTTATAATTAACATCTAAACAATTTATTGAATAATTGTATGAATATGTTTGCATGTGTATATATGTGGTACTGGTGCTGAAACTCAGAGCCTCTTCCTTGCTAGGTGCTAGGTAAATACTTTTTCATTGAGATAGTCCTCAATCTTTGCACTGTGTTTTCTTTTTGAGAGTGAGAGACTGAAAGACTCCCCCGTTGTAATAAAACTAAACCAGATTGATGGGAGCTTCAATATTTCTCCAGATATCTATACTTACTGCTGTAATAAATTGAAGACATCTTTTGGTATATCTAGGTTACTAAGAGTCTACATAAATAGTAAATACTAAATTTTCAGATTCAAGGCTTAACTAGACTGATGGAAACATCAAAAGTTTTAAGTTATCTTCTGCTGTATGAGGTTCATGCTTGGGTCTGGATCCTACTGCTCTTTGCATTGGGCCAGAACACACCTGCTTCCGTGCTCTGTGAACTCTACAAGGGTCATTTTCTTGAAGAAAGAGGACGGAGACTTCGTTAGTTTTGCCAACTCCTCAAAGATTCTGTTAACATACCTATTCATTAGAATCAGCTCTTACCTCTCCCAATTCTTACTATGCTGTGTTAGAATTGTTTAGTTCCTATAAATGATTGGTTTGGTAGAGGAGGCAGGTGTTTTATGTTTATATTTTTAAAGTATTTAAAAATTCTGTCTATCTGTTGTTAAATGTACCATTCTTTTCTTTACCTTCATTATAATCTTCTGAGATGAGAGTGCTCTTTTTTCTTTCTTTGTTCATACCCTGCTCTTTTCCTTTAGACTCCTTTTTATCTTTTCACAGGAAGTCTTGTGTTGGAGTAGGCTCTCAAGGGAGGCTTGGGCCTCTGCTAGCTTGACATTCTGGAAAAAGAAGTTTCAGTTAGATTTGTTTTTGTTCAGATAGATGGCCCAAATGCTCAGTTAACACTGAGTCTGTAAAACTGTGATGCCAATTATACTAACCATGATTCAGTTCACTGTGTGGGATTCATTTTGTAATTGTAGAAAATAAAAATTTGACTTGTCACTCCAAATAAAAATGATTTGGATAGATTCTTCAGGTGCATTTTTGTGTCTATTTCTCATTTCCAAGAGTCCTCTTTAAAGTTGTATTGTATTAAAACTTTGATTTATTTGCTAAGCCTGTTGTAACAAGCACTACCAAGAGGTATAGGCATGGGCAGGCTGATTCCCTTGGGCTCAGTTCTTGGATTGCAGATGGCTTTTCCATGTTCTCACATGGCCTCTCTCTGAGCATATGTTTGCATTTCTCCTTTTTTGTAGGATTCTGGTTAGGTTGTATTAGTGCTTACCATTTGGACCTCTTTAAAGAGCTTTCCAAATGCATCACATTTAAGGTACCGATATGGGAGTTTCCTGGGTGCATTTAGCACCATGTTTGACTGTAAGCTCCCACAAAACAACAGTGATGAGTTTTTCTAAATCCAGATCAGTTTAATGTGTGGCATATGTCAAAGAGGGCAGCATATGCTTTAGCCCCAAGGGCTTAGCTCTCTCACTTCTTTTCTACCATGAGCTATCCTTTGCTGGGCAGTGGTAATGGACACGTTTAATTCCAATACTCAGAAGGCAAAGCTAGGTATATCTCTGAGTTCAAGGCCAGCCTGGTCTACAGAGGGAGTTCCAGGACAGCTAGCACTACACAGAGAAATCCTACCTCAAAAAAAAAAAAAAAAAAAGGGAGAAGGAAAGAGGAATAGAGAGATAAAGAGATTCTCTTGAAGCAAGTGGACTTTTTGATCTAGTAGACTGGTAGACACATACTCAGAATCACTTTTTTCTTCTCCTGTACAGATGGTTGGCATTTTATTGCCTGGACTAATTTCACCATAGTTCTTTTAAAAGAACAAATATTTAATAAACCAAGAAAACCAAACCAAACTTTTGAGTATCAGCATAGTAGATTGCTTTCTTGTCATTCTTAGAAAGGCTACATGAGCATTGTTTCATCCTTCTTCTACCTGCCTCTTTTTCTTCCTTTTCTCTCCTTTCTCACTTGTGATTCTATAGTATTCACATTTCAGTTTATGTGTTCCTGGGTAGGGCCTCACTATATAACCCAGGCTAGTCTGGTTAGGTTGTATTAGTGCTTACCATTTGGACCTCTTTAAAGAGCTTAAGCTCAGACTAGCCTCAAACAGTCCTCTTTCTTTATAATCCTGAATGGTGGAGTTACAAGTATACCCCACAACATCCCACTGAAACTAGATTTTTATTTCATAAGAAAATTAACATCTTTTGTTACAAAAATATTTGAATTACTAAATAGTAATTCTCTGCTAGAACTTGAGCTTCATATTGTACTGGTTTATTCTGGGGCCAAAAGTACCCTTCTCTCTTCTTTTGTGAGATTATTAAAAGTACCAAGTGTGTACAGGTAAAGTCTAAACTTAATGTTATTGTGTGTACTGTGTATGTAGTGTACACTTTGTGTGAGAGCTCATGTGTTGTCTTCCTTTGAGCTGGTCTGATGTCAAGTGATTGTAATGCAAGGTGTTTTCTTACAGTGCCCTTGCTGCCAGTTCCGAGCCAGCCGAGGCCTGCTGTGGGACCCCAAAGATTCCCAGTGAGTAGCACCTGTTCTCTTTAGTGGGGGCTGGGGGCTGGGGGAAGCATGTCCTGGCTGAGAAGGACTGCACTTGCCTGGCCAGAAACAGTGTGGGTGCTGGTCAGTGTTGACTGCAGCCTCAGTATTGGAAAACCTTAATGGTCAATAGATGTTTGAGAGCAGAATTAATTTTCGCTAAACTTGCTGAATCAGGACTGTCATCAGAATGCCTTTCATCTGAAAAAATACGAATTCTGATTTTGTCATAGTCCTCTGTTGAGGGCACGTCTCACAGGCAACATGATGTGTGTATGAGTCTATGTATCATATTCCAGGAAATAAGAATGAAGTGCTTGGTCATGAAAGAGCTGAGAGTTTCCCAGGTTTCCTGTTCTTAATGAAAAATTTAGGTCTGAAGCAAAACATACACTCATGTGCTGCTTGATATTTATCTGTAACTAGAAGAAAAAAAGTCCATTGTTGGTTTAAATATATGCGTTTTATTTTCTTGAATTCTTGGTTTATTAATTACTTGTTCTTTTTAAGAACCATGGGAAAATTAGTCCAGGCAATGAAATGGCAATGCCATCTGTGGAAAAAAAGAAAGTGATTTTGAGTATGTATGTGTGGCCTGTTGACAATGAACAATAGATGGGGATTAGATAGAGAGCCTGCCTATTAACCAGGTCCACTGACAAGCTCAGTGTTGGCTTCAGGCTTTGGAGTACTTTCAGACACTCTTGCTGTGTGGCTGTTATTTGTGGTACCATCTGAAGCTGGTTCTTTCTTGCCTTGTTCCCATATTTAGCTAAGGTTTTCCCTTAGATTGCTGTTCACGTTGTATAAATTTAGTTTTTAATTAGTTGTTTTTGGTTACCAATCCCTATTCAGAACATTCTTTTAAATGGCTGCATCCCCCCAGGTTGCCATGGTGTCATTGCCTACACATGTAAAGAAGCACTTGTCTCCTTGGTTTAATTTGAAATGCTGCTTTCTTTTCCTTGAGCTTCTGTGAAATTTGCTGTTGGTCTTGTTTTCATGTTTAGTTTGCACCATGGTGCTAGAATTTGATGTAAAACAATTCTGGTTTTCAGAAATTTATGACACAGAATGCTTGGCAAAATGAAATTGTGAGTAATTTGTAATTTTTCAGTTGTACAAAAAGATTTTTTTTTTTTCTTTCTGATACTAGAAGGGGAAAAAAAAACCTCATGGTATTTCAAGAATATTACTAGAGGAAAATGAAAGGTTAGCACTTGGAGGTCAGAGGACAACTTGAGGAAACTGTTCCTTTCCTACAATTGGGTTCCAAGGATGGAATATTAGTTACTATACTATTGCTGTGAAGAGACACTATGACCAAGGCAATTTGTACAACAGGAAACTTCTAATTGGGGTCTTGCCCTCAGTTTAAGAGGATAAGTCCCTGATCATCATGGTGGGAAGCACACAGGCATGCACTGGAACAGTAGCTGAGAGTTTTACATCAGGGAGAGACAGAGAGAGAGAGAGAGAGAGAGAGAGAGAGAGAGAGAGAGAGAGAGAGGGAGGGAGAGGGAGAGAGAATGAATGAGAATGAATATATTAAATGAAGTTCAAGTTGTGTCTTAACTGAATAAAATTATAAAGACAATAAAACAATGTTGTGGTCTAGTTAAGCCTTTGACCATTAATTACTACTGCTGGTCATGTGCACTTCAGATCCTATTCCAGCCCTTTTCTACAGTTGAAAGGCAGTATTTATTATGCAGACTCTTGCTTTATAAAATGACCCACAATTTCCAACATATGCCTGTAATCCTAGCACTTGGGATGCTGAGGCAGGAAGATCCTGAGATAGATGCCAGCCTGGGCTAGATAGTGAGACATTGCCTTAAGAAAAATGAAGGTCTGGAGATTATAGCTCAGTGGCATAATGCTTGACAAGCATGTTCAAAGTTCTGAGTTTCATTTCTAGCATCAGGTCACACACGTGTACAAAGACTATATACAGAAACCATAAAGCATTCAGTTAAGAAATCCAACTTCAGATTTCTTGGTCTTCTGGAATCATTGTGTTTCCTTGGTGCATAAAACTAGATTTATATTTGGAAGTCTTTGTACCAGTTTAAATAGAGTTGAGTATTCTCATCTCTCTGATAGCTACTATCCTGTACAGTGTTGCACAAACAGCTGGTTCTCCTGTTAGATTTCAGTATGCATATGCTATCTTATAGGTCTATATAAGTAAGTATATACCATGTGTGTCTTTCTGCTTTTGGGATACCTCACTCAGGATGATCGTTTCTAGGTCCCACCATTTGCCTGCAAATTTCATGATTTCCTCATTTTTAATTGCTGAGTAATATTCCATTGTGCAAGTGTACCACAATTTCTGCATCCATTCCTCAACTGAGGGACATCTGGGCTGTTCCCAGCTTCTGGCTATTACAAATAAAGCTGCTACAAACATGGTTGAGCAAATGTCCTTGTTGTGTACTTGAGCATCTTTTGGATATATGCCTAGGAGTGGTATAGCTGGATCTTAAGGAATCACTGTTCCTAATTGTCTGAGAAAGCACCAGATTGATTTCCAAAGTGATTGTACAAGTTTGCATTCTCACCAGCAATGGAGGAGGGTTCCCTTTTCTCCACAACCTCTCCAGCATGTGTTGTCATTTGAGTTTTTGATCTTAGCCATCCTGATGGGTGTAAGGTGAAATCTCAGGGTCGTTTTGGTTTGCATCTCTCTGATGGCTAAGGATGTCGAGCATTTCTTTAAGTGTTTCTCTGCCATTCTATATTCCTCTAGTGAGAATTCTCTGTTTAGCTCTGTACCCCATTTTTTAATCGGATTGCTTGATTTGCTGCTTTTAAACTTCTTTAGTTCTTATATATTCTGGATATCAGCCCTCTGTCAGATATAGGGTTGGCGAAGATTCTTTCCCAGTCTGTAGGCTGTCGTTTTGTTTTGATAACTATGTCCTTTGCTTTACAGAAGCTTTTCAGTTTCATGAGGTCCCATTTATCCATCTAGTTTAAGGAGCTTTCTGCAGGATGGAATGTTTTAATCTCAGAGGAGACTATTACAAAGTAGTAGAGTTGAGAATTTACTGGTACTTTTGAAAGTAAGGAGAGTAGAGAAGAATGTTTAAATTTTTATACTTTTTGTTTTGTCTTTAAGGATACATTGACCTTGTATAGGAGGATTAGGCAGTTCTTAATTGAACTAGGAAAGATTCCTCTCTTCGCCTTACTAACTGGGAAGCAGACAGGGCAGACATGGTTATTTTCAGCTTGGGTGTTCTTTTTTTTCATGTTAAAAATCTTGTTGGTCTCACTGCACAGACAGTCCTGCTTTGTATGTTATTACCATGTAAGGTTGTGAGTCCTTTTCTTCAAGTATTTTTTAGTTTTTTTTTTTGTCCCAGAAAAGACATTGTTAGCTGACAGCAATGCTAAAATGTCAATTGTTGCAGTAAATGTTACTTTGAAGTTTTGTCAAGATAGTCTGCATTTTCAGTCTCATTGCTCTTTTATATATAAATCTCCAGTTAAAGCAGTTGTACCCAACCGGTGTGTTTCGACCCCTTTGGGGTGTCAAATGACCATTTGAACAGATATTTACATTATGATTCATAACAGTAGCAAAATTACAGTATGAAATAGCAATGAAAATAATTTTCTGGTTGGGGGGTTATTCAAAACATGGAGAACTGTATTAAAGGGTCACAACATTAGGACGATTGAGAACCATTGATTTAAGCCTTTTAGACATAGGTTGCTAAAGCTGTTTTAGTCCTTTGGTTTATTCTTACTGTTGTGTTTAGGCTAATGATATTTCTGGGGACCAGCAACATATGGTAGGCTGTGGAAAATTTTCTTAGCTGAAAGTTTTTTGCATGCAATATATTTTGATCATATTTTTCCTTCTTCCTAGATCCATTTTACCTCCTTACCTGTCGAACTTCATGTTCTCTCTCTCACAAAACAACAAAACCAAATGTCAAACAAAAGCCCAGTAAGACCAAAATTAAATAAATCCTAAAAGCACACCAACCTCCACACACCCACAAACACAGGCAAGATGTTATTGTCTCCTGTGCATGGGGCCTGCTCTGGAGTGTGGTTGATAGACCAGTGACATTCCACTGGAGGGAATTGATTTTCCCTTTTCTAGCAGGTATCAATTGCAAATAGTGTCTTGGTTAAGGGTGGGACTTTGTGCCCACTTTCCTTTCTCCATACTGGTGTGGAATGATTTCTAGTTGTTCTTTGTTTAAATTAAGGATGAAAATGTGTATAGCTTTGAGTTGGAATTAGTCTTTAGCAGTGTCTGTATTGTTTGACTTGACCTGGCAAATGAGGCTGGTGCAGCAGAGCTCTGGGCCACATTGTGATGTGTGGTATCAGGTGCTGGTGATTGGGGCTTGCTAGATAGGTCCTGAGTGCTATTTCATGCAAATCATGTCTGAGAGACTGCTGCAGCAAATCCCATTTCTTTTCTGATTATAGCTTCACTGATGAGAATCAAGACTATGCTCTTCAGGAAGAAAGTCTTGCTTTTGAGTGCTTACAGTTTTTACAACATGGGTGCAATGCCTTTTAATTACTAGCACTTAAGATAGAAAAGGGATGATGGACATTTCCTCTTATCAGATCTTTGAGTAGTAGCAGGAGAATGTAGTAGAAGATCCTACCAGCTGTCAGATATTGTCAGGCTTGCAAGCAGAGAATGCAGTTTAAAATGCAGGTGACATAATACCCAGCATCCTCTGCTTGCTTCTGGGTTTTTGATTAATCATGATTACCATATATTATCATACCATCAAATTTAATCATATCAATGAATGCCCATCTGCAGCAGTAACAGGAGTAGCTAAACACAGTGGAAACAGCCATTAAAGGAAGAGGTGGTTTATCATGTTGTGCATGCCTTCCTTATGCATACGGCTGGAGGTGGGGCTGGTTTAAAGGCCACACTAACAACCCACAGGCTAGGAAATAGCTATTGAAATTGTTTCAGACTGATTTCTTGT